TATATACATATATATATATATATATATATATATATATGGAGGGTGTGGAACTCGAATTGTTAGGCGCATCGGGGATGGCCGGGGCTCGTATAATAGCCTCAAGTCACTCCTTAAAATATATATAGTTTTTTTATTCGCCCTTCAAATGATGAAGTTCTCGTATTCGACGACGACTACGAAGGACTCTGCGCTTGTCAATCTCCATCGCGATCGTCCTCTTCTCTTTCGCGCCCAACGACGAAGGGCCTCCGCGTCTTTCTGCTGCGGTTTCGTGTCTGTCGAGCTGCAGCGCGGTTTCTTCTTCCTGCTGCGGTGTCGCCTGCAGCTTGGCATCTTCTGCGGGACTGCGTTCGTGCAAGCGGCGTGCGCGTCTCTGCAGAATTCTGCGACGTCCGTTATCTGCGATGTCAATCGTCTGCGTTTTCTGCGCAACATCGCCCAGGACCTCTTCTGTCCTACTTGCAGCTCTTCTCTCTTACTGTGACTTGTTGCGATGAAGCTTCCTCCTTCGGTTGAGCCCGGTAAAACCTCTTTTGCCCAAGTTGCGGGTAATTCTCAGGGGGAGACGGCGGTTGTCTTCCGCTCAAGTTATAAGGAGAATCGTGATGGTACAAGTGACTGTTCCTTTATTAAGAATGCAAGCAGGAAGAGTGAGAAGACAACACTATTTTTCTGTGAGTTAGAAATTTCAACCTTGACTGACAAATTCAAATTTGATCTCATTGGGAAATTTCAGTGGGGACACCCAGCTGTGGAAGTTATCAAAAAAGTGAAAAGTTGGGCTCATGGATGAGAGAGATGTTTTGATTCAGTTAACCGTGACCGTGCATGAAGACTATATTTGTATTTTCTCAAAAAATATCTTAACATTGCTGGTAAACCAATGAAGCTACTCAAGTGGTCTTCTGATATTGACCCCAATCATGAACCTCTTACTGTACCGGTATAGTTTAGTCTACTTGGTCTCAAGCTGCATTTTTTTCATCATCGGGTTCTTTACTCTATTGGTGTCATACTTGGGGACCCTATGAAGCTAGATCTACCCACTTTCAACCTTACCAGATCTTCTGTGGCCAGAATACTTGTGGAAAGAGATATTACTTTGTCTGATGTTACTGAAGTCTGGTTGGGCACAATGCATAATGGATATTGACAACAAATCGTCATGGAGCATAGACCTTCTTATTGTTATCATTGTAAGATGTTTGGACATACTCTTGATAAATGTCATTAGTTTCACCCTAATTTGAAATCTAAAGATCAAATGAATAAGGATGGTTCTAAGGATATATCTGTACCACCTGAAGAGAAAGCTACCACTGGACAGATTTTGGTGTATGATTCTCTTGCCACTGTCATTACTGTTACTGCGAGTGATGTGATGTTGATATCTTCAAACCCCATAGAAAACAATACTGATGGACTATTACCTACAAATGATAGTGTTCAGAATGATAATCAAGAGAGCCTTGTAGCTCCACTTCTTCAGGAAGTATCCGGTGGAGAGGCAACTCATACTTCACATATACTATAACCTATTGTGGGTACTATGATTGGTATTCCTTTTGCTTCAACTTTACCACCCCATTATGAAGCAATGGTTAGTTCAGTTTCCATGAATGACATGTCTATTCCAGGAGGAAGAAGAAGAACAAGAAGAAGAACGGAGACCGACTCCAACTCGGGAACATATTGGATGATACATTGGTTACTAGTGACAATAACAATCATTTTATCAACTTATTAGTTTGTTCATTCTCTAAAACTAGAGGTAGAGGTAAGACCAAATTGGGTCGCTCTCTAGCCACCTGATACTATGTATTTCAGCACTGTTAGGCTTTTTATTTTAATATCTAATGTTTTTTGTTTTTTCTAGTTTTGAAATCTTTTATGGTTTTTTGTGTGGACAGGGTGTCATGCTTGGGCCCTCCCACACATTTCATCTGTATCTTCTTTTCTATTTAATATATTAGCATTTTTTTGGGCTTTCAAAAAAAAAGGTTAAATATAAATAAGGTCGAGAGCTATGCTAGGGTTTCCAATAGCGATTACAGTCACATTTGATTCTGTCGTTGGAAGGAGAGGGCTCACACCTCGCCTTTGTTTCGTCCCGACATTACTGCGTCTCTTCGATGCTGTCGGATCGCGTGCGTCTGTTGCGTCTGCGTCAGCATCGACGTCTCGCTCGATTTCTTCGCATTTAATTCTGTTGCAACTCCCGTCTGCGTCTGCGTCTGTTGCGTCTGTTGTGTCTGTTGCGTCTGCATCGTTCTGTTTCGATGTTGTGCCTCTCCCTGTCCGACAACTTCTCTTCCTGTCCGACATCTTCGTTTCGTCTGTGTGTCGGGGACCTCGCAACAGGCGAATGCCGACAACTCTCCCTGCTCTAATGACACTCCCTTCTTCTATGGTTGAACCAGACAAAGCCTCATTTGCCCACGTGGTGGGTAACCCTCAGGTGGAGTCGGCG